CATATATATTGCAACATGTTGGATGGATACACATATAGTTGATATTCATATACATCACATACATATATACAATTTTTGCCTTGAAAACATATACAGTTTGATCACACATACATCTAACTTCTGCTTTAAAAACATACATACATATATAGGTGGCCCCACATACCTACACACATATAATTACAATCAAATACTATATATATGCACGATTTTAATTAGGATTAAAATACTGCTACGTTTTTATATATTAAAAAAAAATCTCACTATATTTTGTAAAAACAAGCACTAACAACTCTACTAATAAAATTAAACTAATTAATGAAACTTTTGTTGCAGGATATTACATTAAAAGGATTTTGGCTGCAAGAGTGGAAATTAGACAAAACAAAATATAGGGATTGGATCGATTCTCTCTTGCGCCTTGTTCGTGCTGGGAAATTAAAATATGAGTATGTTGTTCTCTCTTTATTACGCTATCAATAAAGTCGTAAAATTAGCACATGAAAATATGATTCGTTTAATCTGGTTAAGTTCGAAGATTCAATTTATTGACTCACTTCATCATATGAAACATTCCATTCAACCTATCTACTTTTGATGAATCTAAAAACTTACGTTCAAATCTTATATTTATACTATAAAAATTTATTTAATAAGATTAAATTTGTCGATATTATTATTCTAAAATTTTAATTTTGATACAGGTTTGACGCAGTACATTTTGAAGATTTTCATTCTGCTCTTGAGAAGGCAATGGGGAAGCATGGAAGTCAAAGGAAACAAATTCTTATATTCTAAAATATAATAATAATAAAAATAAAGTCAAGGGTAATGTCGTAATTTCATTGGTCATTATGTTGATCAATAATTAGTACTTAATTAAGTATTATTTCTTCTTAATCTCACATGTTGAGATGTTCTGATATTTTCAGAAACTTTATTGTTTGTTGTTATTTCTTCTTTTCATAAACTTTAAAAAAAAAATATTGTGGTGGAATTTATAAACTTTTTTTGTTATTATTGAATGTGCCAAGAATAAACCTTTATTTTGGTGCATGTTTAAGATTTGCTCAAACATATATTTCATAAGATTTGATGTCTCTTTATGTCCTTTTCCTCTATTAATTATACTCTCTAGTTATTTATATGTCGTAATTTTGATTAAATGGGGAAAAAAAGGAACTTTTGAAATTTTATAATTATGAATATATTAATTATAAAAAAATTAAAGTTTGTGAATTTAAATGTTTTTTTATATTTATGTGGTTAAATAAGAGTTTATAAAATATAAAATTCAAAATAAAAATTTATTAAGATATTTTTTTCCTGAACAATTAATAAAGAAATAGTATCATTTTCTCTAAGATCCTCGAGTCAAGGAAAACATATTAAAATCAAGTATTGAAAAAGAAAATGCGAAGAAATCATATATTATCTTTGTTTCAATTTGCTTGTGTTACTTATTTAAGAAAGATCATTTTCCTCCTTTTAGCAACTTTTTAAATTACATATTTAAGACTCCAAAATTAAATCATATTTTAATATATTATACATATCTACTGTATAATTTAAGACCATAAGATTCAAAAGTCTTTTTTACTTTTTAAAAATTTGTGTCAAGTTAAAATCAGACAAAGACACCGAAATGAAGGGAGTAGAAAATAATGGAGGAAAAAAGTCACAACAAAAAATAGTATGATAAACATAATAAAAATAACAGGTAATAACAAAATCGAAAACTACAAGAAAAACTAAACAATTCTTGATCACCTACTATTAGCGTTCTACCCTAATTATCAACTTTCATATCATTTTATTTAGGATCATATCCTTGATAAATTGTTCATGTATTATGTTGACCTATTTGTACCTCTCATAAAAGCATGCGAAAGAGAAGAAAAGCATATTACACCTAAATCGTATTGGTGAAATGCGATTTATCCTTTATGCATTTACTTACCCTTATGTCCCTTCTGCATTGCCCGTAAGTGCCACGTGGAATTCTACTTTTGAAGCTTATATTTTGTCCTTTATTTTTATTACAAAAAAATTATCTTGTAAATTTTGATAAATAAAATGTTTTCATGTCTTTTTATAATAATGAATATTTTAGTGACAAATACCTTAACTGCTATATACGTATTTTTTATCCTAATTTATGTGACACAGTTAAAATTTTAAAAGTCAATGAAGTTTTTTATTAGAACATTTTTTATGCATTTTAAATTATTTAAGTTGTTAATTATTGTGTTTTATTGTAATTTGTATGTAATTTTTTTTATATAAATTATATCTCATGAAATATAAAAATTCTATATCCGAGTTCACGATCAAAGTTTGAAAATATGAATCTTCATTAATTTTTCGACTATTAGAATATTGAGCATGGGCTCAGCACGGGACAAACACCACCAATATTGTGATAGGTTTGATAAATCGAATTATATATTGTAAAATATTTAATATAATGGGAAACGGCCCGGGGGAGGGGGGGAATCATTTCTTGCATTAATTTTTTTAAAATATTTTCCAATCCTTCAATTAGTGAATTCTATATTAGAATTAAGTAATATATAAGTTTTTCTTTATCTAACTATACTAGTGAATAATATTATTTTTTGACGAAGACTTGACACCTCTGGAATACATTTGGCTTGCTACTAAATGTGGATATGCAATAATGGGCAAAAATAGTAATAATAAAAATAATAATACTCTCTTTGTTTCGTTTTACTTAGCCCCTGTTGACCTGACATATTCCTTTAAAGAAAAAATTAATTAGAAATGTATATAACTCATCAAACTAACCTTATTAAAGATGTTTAAATTTTAAATGTGACTACTGATACTATATATTTTATTTAATGTTAATGATAATATGATGGGGGGGGGGGGGGGGAACCCCCGTTTGAATTATATTTTGCATTTTAGCTGCTGCCCTCTCTTCTTCTTTAGCTTTAATGGTGATTTAAATGCATGGGCTGATTTTGGGCTGTTCTGAGCCTCGCATTGTGTTCCATTTTAGGACACAAGTTTGGGGAGGTACAATGAACCTTTTCATAGAATCAATTTTGGGATTTCTGGTGCGGGTCGCAATATCCTATTTTAGACCCGATTTTGGGTCCGTCTCTGAAAATGCGATTTTGGTGTCAAAACAACCTTATTGACATTGTGATTCTATTTTTGATAGCGTGGCACCATTTTGAGTCCGTACGGAAGGGAAAAGCTCCGAAAACCTGATTTGGAGCACGACGGTCGGCCTAGAGGTAGGCTACGTATCTCAATTCCATCTCAAAAAGAATATCATATTTTCATGATGGAAAACATAACTTTAAATTGTTATTTTTATTCGTAGTAAAACGATTTATATTCATGTACAAATAATTAAATAATATTTTGACCACAAATTAAAAAAATTCATTTTTTTCAAGTAAAATAATATCACATAAATAGAGAAAGAAGAAAATACTACAACTTTTTATATTTAAAAATAGAAAAAATTAATAGAATATCTATTTTGATATTGAAATGGATCGAAATAATAATACAAAATCTCCTTATGTTTTACGTTGCATGTGCTTTGATATGAGGCACATCGAGATTCCTAACTGAAATCTAATTAAATCTTATATTTTTATTATTTTCAAAATGCAAACACCTAATTTAAAAATATTGGCAATATTTTAAATTCATGCTTGAAGTCAATGTGCTTCAATTATTTACTCACAAAGTACATGATTTCGTATATAAAATTTAGCTTATATACAAAAAAATAAAATAAAATTATTCTTATAAATATAATAAAGTTAATGTTCACATCACATTAGTGATTCGACGGTGGCAAGAGTTATTGGAGAGACGGGCAAAATGGGGAATGATGATTTCTTTTTAAATTTTAATATTTAGAGCAAATTTTGTTTTTTATCAGATGAAAAATATGTTGCTATTTGGCATCTAGTTTATACTTTCTTAATTGATTTTTATTTATTTAAAGTTTTGATTTTGCATGTTCTTTAATAAATAATGATTGATTTAAATATTTTATTATAGTATTTATATTAATTAACTAATATTTAATCTTAAAGTTTGAAACTGTTGAGAGTAAAATATAAAAAATAATATATATTTTTCTTAATATGTTAAAAGTGACAAATGAAAGTGAAAACGTATTTTTAATACAGTGGAGAAGTAAAAGTGAATGGAAAGAGTTATAAGTTACTTCATTTGTTTGATTTTGACTTAACGCCTAGTTTAAACAAGTATTAAAGACTTTTAAATTTTGTAGTCTTAAATTAAAGATATGTTGCACGTACCAAAATGTCTTTTAATTTTATAGTCTTAAATATACCATGTGAAAAGCTAAAATTAAAGAGTCGTAAAAAATAAAAAAATATTTTTTTAAAAGTTGACTAAAAAAAAAGTAACACGAACAACAACATCTCTAGTGAAATCTCAAAAATGGGGTTTGGGGAGATAAATTGTACGCAGATCTAATCACTACCTCATGGTGGTAGATATGTTTGTGAAAGACCCTCCGCTTAGGTGAAGAAAAAGAAGACAAAGAAGAAAAGATAATAGTAAGTAACAAAAACAAATTGTACACAATCTATCAAAAGGGAGCACGTACAACAACAAAATAGTGCGATAATCAATAAACAAGAACTATAATAAAATAACTAATACAATAACAAACATCAACTAGTAAAATATCATTCAGTAGACGATCTCTCGAAGACTAATTCTAGAGTCCAAAACAAATTAGCGAAAACATATGCTATAAGGATGAATGAATTTTTTTTACAATTAGCCCCCAAAAAATTAAAGAAAATAAAATAGTAAGTAATCCTTTTATCTATTATAAATTTTTTTTAATGAAAAACCAAAAAATTCAATCAATATTTCTAAAATAAAATAAATAAATTATACAATGCAAAATTAGGCACTGTGTCTAAAATAATTAAGACAATGCAAAATTAGGCATTTTGCCTAAACTAATCTGGCAAGTTCGGCAACAACCATAACGGCGTCGTTTTTTCAGTTTCATTAGAAGTCAAAACACATAGCTCATTTTGGATGGTACTGTAATGGCGACTGCTAGGATTGTATCCCTAAAAGCCCTCGTACATGGAGTTTCAGTTTCACGATGGACTCCGCTATCACGAGTCCTCCGGCTCCGTTCTCGTCCTCTATACTCCGCTGTGCGAGATTATTCCGCCGCCATTTCGCCGCCTTCGAAGGCCGTTGTCTACGATCAACACGGCTCTCCTGATGTTGTCACTAGGTTAAGTAACTCTTCCATTTCTCTTCAGTTTACTTTTCAATTTTCAATTAATTGTAAGTTTATGTGTGTGTGTTGCAGAGTGACGGAGCTTCCGCCGGTGGAAATTAATGACAATGATGTGTGCGTTAGAATGCTTGCGGCTCCGATCAATCCTTCTGATATTAATAGAATTGAAGGTTAGAAAAGTTTACTAAGTTTTAGCTTCTTTTAATCCATAATGACAGTTATATGTGCAGAGATTTATGTTGAGAACTACTACTCTTTCCGTTTCAATTTGTTTATCTGGTTTTTTATATTGACATGTCAACTGGAAAGTTACAATTAAAGAGTTGTCAATAGTGGGGATCCGTTTTGGTTAGGAGGTGGGAGCTTTGAATATGTTATTGTCTGGGAGTTGTCAACGGAATAACATGTACTTTACTTAAGCAAGCTGTTGTTATTGGTATAAGCTAACTAGCACAGACACAAACTGAAGGATCGTGTTGAACACGACGAAAACAAAAGTATTTAAAATCTATACTCACCACGAATGTTGTATTCAAAAGGTCTATGATATTAGGATTGTTCAAAACCAAACCGAGACCAATAACCCGAACCGGAAAATGCTTATTGGTTTAGTTGTATCAGTAATGGTTTTGGTTTTTTCTTTTTTTATATTGGGTTACTACGGTTTGAGATATTCTCTTAACTGGTTAATCGATAAGTAAATTAATAAATTATGTTTATACCATTCAGTATATAAAGTAGTATATAAAGTTCTTGACTTGGATTTAATTTCATAGGTTCATTTTTGGCTGTCTCAAACTCTCAATTGCTCTACTAGGTGTCAACGCATGTGCATGATATTGTATATGGTCGTCATTAGTTACAAATATTAACGGAAGTATTAACAACAGTCAATAAACACATTATAACAGCTCCATATTCTATAGATCTCTCTGAAGTGTCCAGGTTTTGCATCAAATAGGAAAAAAAACTCAGTAGAAATGTATAGTAAATAATTATTACAACATACCATTTAAAACCAAAACGTGACTACTCAGTAGAGGGGAAAAAGCAGCCACTAGCAAATTAAGTAGAGGAAGAGAATGACAATCTCTGTTTCTGCAGTAAGGAATTTGCCGCTTAAACATGTAGTCTGATTCAAAAACAACCAAAGGATGACTCATTAAGCAAGAAGGGGAGCTTATAACTCCAATGTACAGTACCAATGAATCAGGAGGGAAATAAAGTTGGAAGCATGTCCTTTTTCTTCTTCAAAACCATGTTCTTTAAAAAGGTCTAGACACTTGTTTGATAATGTTTCGAACATTCTATCTCATTGATGGAGGCCTTCTTCAGCTATTCTTTTCTTTCATTGTTAAGACTAGTTTTTTGACTTTCTCACAGAGGAAACATTCTTTCACAGTAATTGCCCCAAATCTATTGTACCGCAGGAGTTTATCCTGTCCGACCGCCGCTGCCTGCAGTTGGGGGATATGAAGGTGTTGGAGAAGTACATGCCATTGGTTCTGCAGTTAAGGGTCTTTCCCCGGGAGATTGGGTTATCCCTTCCCCACCTTCTTCAGGTAGAAATCTGTTGCTCATTAAAACATCAAGTTATGCACCTGAAGCATACTTTACTAGACTTAATACCCACTGAAGGAACTTAATTTGGTATTCTGATACACATCAATACACCAATGTTTTCATGCAGGGACATGGCAGACCTACGTCGTTAAAGAACAAAGTGTGTGGCAGAAAGTTGATAAAAGCACCCCAATGGAGTATGCTGCGACTGTTATTGTAAATCCGTTGACTGCCTTGAGAATGCTTGAGGACTTTATTGCATTAAAATCAGGTTTTCCAAATTTTGAATCTGATGTTTACTGCTTGCTTCCATCTCCCTTGTTAATGTTTTTCATAAGCAGGGGACACTATTGTGCAAAATGGTGCTACAAGCATAGTGGGGCAATGTGTTATTCAACTAGCTCGACTTCGTGGGATTCATAGCATCAATATCATTAGAGACAGGTGGAGTTTAACTCTGCTGAAAATATGTTGTGGTCTTGGTGTATTTGAAGTTATCTTAGTTCTCAAAATAATTGTTTAGAGAACAGTCTAATTCTCTGGCTTGAAAACCTTCCTTTGTTCTCTGGTGTGAAAATCTTGCTTTCCTTGACAACATGCAACTTATGATTAAAGTCTATAATTGCATAAAATAGATGCCTTTCTATTTGCATCTGTAATTCCTTGCTATGGTAAAAATGATCCGATATTACCATTATGATATCATTTTCCTGATATCCTAAATTTCCCCCTTTATTGCTGGTGCAGTTTCTTTATGTTTGACATTAAACTTGGATTGCCTGAGAATTGCCTCATAATACAGGAGCATTCAGCAATCTAATGGTACTAATATCTGCAAGTTTGTTAGAGGCTGATAATCTCTATGAATTAAGAGGGATTTCCATTCGATTGGTTATCTGAATGTTTAGATATGGTTCACCAATATCCCGCATTAAAAACTCTGTAGCAAATTTTTCCCAAGAGTCGTCTTAGTGGTACTATTCTAGGAAAGGTTGAGTCATCCCTGATTAGTGCTGCTAACTTCTGTAATCATTTAACAACTTGCAGCCTAAAAGAACATCTTTCCTTCTATGTAGCTTCCAAACTCTCCTCAAATTTTCAAGGCTGTCTCACGTAATTGCAAGTTTCACTTTAGGACGATGAGTTTGATATCATCTTTCTCCATTTCCAATGTTTCTGTATAAATTGTGTTCATTTCCTTGAGTGCTTTTCCCGATGAAAGTAAAGTAATGAATTTATACACAAATAAGGTCTTGGGTTTTTTAAATAATTAATATGTGTATGATGTTAGGTCTTCTTAATTTAATACAAATTTCTACGCATGAGGTATCACAGGATTATAAACTCAATTCTCTCAGGGCAGGATCAGATGAAGCAAAAGCCCATCTCAAGCAACTAGGTGCTGATGAAGTGTATACTGAAAGCCAACTGGAAGTGAAGAATGTCAGAGGTCTTCTGGTAACAATCAACAACCATTTTAAGTTGATAATGATTTGTGTACTGAACTGTTTATGTAGTGCCATTGCTGCAGGGAATTTTCCTTCATTTCAGTTTCCTCTCTTCCTATCCCCCTTTTCAACCCTACACATCTTCAATGTGTCGGGACAATGCTCTAAAGTAGTTTTCTCTCCATTCCATTTCAAGTGGTTTTCTAGTTTTTAAATTTGGTCCAAAATAAGAGATATTAAAGAAACCAAGTAGGTATTAATTATCTTTCCCTCAAAATTACCCTCATCTATAAATGATTGAACAAACTTGTAAGAAGTCTTTACAATTTCCTGGTTATTATATAAAAAAAAATCTTTACCATGAATAAATTTGAGAAGAAATAAAGGTTAATAGAGTCGATAGCATCCCTAAATTAAAGTTCCAAAGTAGCTTTATAGGTGTTCAAAAGGCTAAAAAAATCAATGGAGGGAGTAGTTTAACTTCTCTTAAACATTTTTTTAATTGGTATTTTCCATTCCAAACAAATTTTTATTATTTCCTTTGATGTTGTGTAGGGCAATATACCTGAACCTGTTTTAGGCTTTAATTGTGTTGGTGGCAATGCTGCTTCATTGATCCTAAAATTCCTGAAGTAAGATGGTATTCTTAATTTTATTTTCTAGTCAATTTAACTTGCCAGAAATAAAGACATATAGCATGTTTCTTGCAGGCAGGGTGGCACTATGGTGACATATGGGGGAATGTCAAAGAAACCGATAACTGTATCTACTTCGGCTTTTATATTCAAGGCAAGTCTCAAGCATCACACTTTTCATGTTCTTCCCGTGAAGAAGTAGCTCTATGGTAGAACTATTTTCAATTATTCCTAAATGAGCAGTAGCATAGGTGAGGGAAGTAATGTGGAATAAAGTTGTGAGAACTTGGACGGTAAAATAGGATCTTGAGATGCATCCACAGTGTTGCAATCTTTGAGTTACTAGGTAGAATCTATTAAATTCTTGTAACCTGCAGGTCATACATAAGTACCTCTATGTTGAGATATTTTCATCTTCTTCAATTGTAACTGTCCTAAACAAGTATTAAAACCTCAATGAGGCCAACGAGCTGTATGGGGAGTCTTGCCTTACCAGATGTGTGGGCTCAGCTCAACATTGACCACCTTCTTACCTCTCTACCCCAATTCCCTACCAAAGGATAAAAAGAAAACAAATCTCAATAAGGTGCCTATTTTAATCTCAATAAGAACATTTAACGTGGGGAGATCAAATAAGAGCCTCAAGTATATGCATTTAAGACCTGTAAAAATTTAATATTGGAACCTAGTGAGTGATGTGTTAGTGTATGCCACAAGGAAAAAGAATACTGAACTGTTTTGGAAACTATATTTTCAGGAGCTTACCTTGACAGGATTCTGGCTACAGAGGTGGATGAGTTCAGACAAAGCTGAAGAGCGCCAATCCATGATAGACTATCTTTTGGGCCTATGTCGAGATGGAAAATTGAAATACGAGTATGAACCCCCCCTCTCAGTTGATGTCAAGATGTCCTTGCGAAAAAAAAAGTTTTAAGATTGTGATAACTAGAATTTTAATGCAATTGAAAAAATTAAATATTCAGTGATTCTTCTAAACAGCTGAAATTTGAAAATGTTTTTGCGGATGATAATGGGCGAGGAAGTCATTTGTTAGCCTAATGATGCAAGACGGATGGCAGATCATTTACCACCCGTCTTAGATGCGGGGAACTGACGTTGAATCTCCTTCATTTTCATACAGGTTGGAAGTAGCACCTTTTGATGATTTTCATACAGCTCTGGAAAAGGCAATGGGAAAGCGAGGAAGACAACCCAAACAAGTTCTTAAATTCTAAGTCATTGGTACTTAACATAACTCTAATTTGAGTGCTGTAATCATAAGCTGTGTACCTGTATTAGCCTACATTGTTATTGTTGAGGTCCTCCAGAGTCCAGATACAAAAAAAAAAGTGTTGCAAGGCATGGAAATTGATGTCATCGCTGATAGTCGTATTGGCAGAGAGTTTGAGCTCTTTGTTACTGCAGACCTTTTTTGTTAGATCAAGCCAGTTAAGGTAAATGTATCCTGAAAAATAAAAAGACAATCGGCAGTGCCACTCGTTGTGGCATTTATTCTCCTTTCTCAAAAGAGGTTCAATTCAGAATTCCTGTGTGCATCATTTGGCCAACAACCTTCAACCTGTTGCCTTACCAAACTTCTCAATGTGAATTTTGACGATTCACTGCCACTGTAAGGATTTTTTATTTAGCATTCATGTTTAATACAAAATGAGACATGGTTCGGGCATGTGAAGACGAGAGGAGTGGATGCCTCAAATTGAAGTGGTGCTCCTTTTTTCACACCACTTTGTCATGTTCTCTTCAGTATTTGCCATGTTTTTTACTACCTCCGTTGTTTATGTTTGACTACAACCTCTCTACCTCCTAAAGTAGAAGTAAAATATGTGTATACTCTAGTCTTCTCAGACTTCACTTGTGAAATTACAGTGAATAAGTTAATTAGTACGAACTACGAATGCTTCAGATGCATTAGGGGTGTGAGAAATATCTGTGTACTCTATTCTTCTCAAGACTAAACTTGTAAAATTATTGTTGTTAATTAGTACGAACTACGAACGCTTCAGATGCATTAGGGGTGTGAGAATAACGCTTCAACAACTGTACATCATGCTTAAGGAAGTTTTCTTGGGTAAAGATTGTTAAAATTTGCTCAATTGGCTTTATGAATCTGTGTTGCTTGGACTCTCCAAAAGGGTATGGATCATTCTAAAGTATACTACTTTTGACGAATCCAACACACACCAAGCAGCATTTTCTAAAGAATCCGAGCAACATAGTAAGGATATTTTTCCTTCCTGAAAAGTGTAGGATTCAAGAGTGTGTTTGGCTCATAGAACAGAAACTTGCAAAGCTCTCATTGGTATTATTGCTTATTTTCCAAAGGATAACTCAAGAGTGTTACAATAACATACCCTGTGTAAATCCCACAAGTGGGTCGAGGGAGGGTACTGTATGCAACTTTACACTTGCCTTGTGAAGAAAGTAGAGAGGTTGTTTCCGATGACCCTTGGGTCAAGTGAGACAAAGTGATTTATACACAAATTCAAGGCAAAAAAAGCAAATTCAAAATTGAAATATCAATACCATTATATTATCAAACCCTTATACAACAGCATATTCGCAAATAATCACTTTAGTTTCTTTCTTTTTCATCCTTATTGTTCTTCTCTTCTATGATTTGTTTACAAACAGTTTCGAGTTTGTAAACACAAAACGACTAGTTTCTTTTTTTACAGAAAATTTCGAGGGGGGGGAAGGATTCTTGAGTAGAATATGAATCCATTGATTACTCCCCCATCATGCGCGCGCTCCCTTATAACAACCCCGTGTATGAAGGGAGGAAAACCAAACTCTCCAAGCTCAGCTTAAAAGAACAATCAAACAGATGTCACAAATGGCTAACCTGCCACAACTAAATCACACTCCAGACATTGATGAAACAAAATATTGAGGTAATATAGTATGGATCATCACTTGGTTGTATCGGGATCAAACTTAAGAGCCTCATTCCATATGAGCTCCTTAATGTCTTCCTCGCTTAGAGATGCTTGTTCAAAGTCGAAATTGAAAGGAGAAGTGCAAACTGGTTCCTCATTTATCTCATGGAGACTTATCATGAATGGATGATTCAATGCATCCTCAACTGCATGCACATGAATGAAATCAATAGAAGAATCGATGAGTAAGAAAAACAAGTTTAGATAAGTAACTTTTTTGATGCAGTGGTTGCCAAAGAGCATACCAGTTATGCGTTTAGCTGGGTCGAAAACCAACATCTTTTCTGCAAGATCAAGAGCTAAAGGAGACACATCTGGGAAATGCTCGGAGAATGGTTGCTTTGGAACTTGAGGCAGCTGCTTGACGTACTTCCTAGCATTGTCACTCCTTAGGAATCCAAGATCAGACTCCTCCGGTGAACCTAATAACTTATTTACAGAAAAGAGAAACATAACAGGCTTCATTGTTAGTCTATAAAGACAATGACAATCAGGTAGATCAACTATAGATGAGCCTTAGTGTTAGTTAATGAATATATATACTACTCCCTCCGTTTCAATTATGTTTGTCTTACTTCCTTTTTTAGTCTGTTTCAAAAAGAAAACCTCTTTCCTAATGTGGAAACTTTAATTTAAACATCTCATATGAAATGTTTAAGACTACAAGATTCAAAAGTCTTCTTTACTTTAAACTTCGTGCCCTGTCAAACTAAGACACAAATTGAAACGGAGATTTAGAAGGATAAGACACAACAACATATCAGTGTAAGCAGATATACCTTAATGATAAGCCCCAATTGCTGAGCATAGTCTCTGCCGGGGAAAAGAGGCTCTCTCTTAATGAGTTCCATCAAAATGCAACCAACTGACCATATATCAATTGCTGAAGTATATTCAGTACAATTAAGTAGTAACTCGGGTGCCCTATACCATCGAGTAACAACATACTCTGTCATGAAATCTGCCTCTGAAGTGGTTCTAGCAAGCCCAAAATCACATATCTTGAGGTCACAGTTTGCATTGAGTAGCAAGTTGCTAGGTTTCAGATCCCGGTGAAGAACATTAGCAGAATGTACATACTTGAGTCCACGTAATAATTGATAGAGAAAGTACTGAAAAAGCATCATAAAGAGGATGTTACAAAACTTTGCCAAACCAAAGTCAATATTCAATTGTGCCAATATACACAATATAACTAGCACATACATTAAAACAATCAAGTGTGAATTTTGTTAAATAGGAGTTAATATAGAATTATTTGAAAATAACAGCTTAACTAGTTGCAAGTAAGATCATTTGCTGATTTTTTTTTGATAACCAAGAAATCTCTAAGAGCCAGTGATGCACCATTTGAACTCAATGGATGATTGGCCCCACTGAAAAACATCATATTGAAATTTAAGACTAAAGTAATTTAAACTACCACTTTCTAGTAATGAGATACTGAAGACCCCGGTATCAAGCAACGCAAGTAAATGAAGACGGGTTCAATGGAAATTGGCCAAACCAAATAGGCATAAATTATGACAGCAAAAATATGGTAAAGCTTGGTCAGGCAATAGTAGTTCTTTTTTTTTCTTTAGTGGGTGAAAACCTGTATGCAGTAGAGGGTGAGAAATTGATAAATTGTGGTGCCATCACAAAAATAAAGGCAGCCCAATGCACTAACTCCTGCTATACACAGGGTCCGGGGTAGGGCTGGTACACAAGGGTCTATTGTACGCAGTTTTACCCTGCATTTCTGCAAGTGGTTGTTTCCACATCTCAACACCAAAGAAGAAAAAGGAAAAGCTGAATTTAGATAAAAACATCCAATTTGAGCCTTCAACATGCAAGTAAACATAACCAATCTCATTCAGATTACCCTAAAATTTTCTCCTGTGTTACTGGAAATTGTGGAATTGTTTTGGAAACAAGCATAAATTGCAAATAGCATCAGATACAGGAGGTTACAAAATAAAAGCACCATCAACAAACCAGCTAATAAATAAGCTAGTGAAAGGAGTTACTCCCTCCATTCCACTTTATGTGGCACTATTTCTTTAGTAGTCCATTCGAAGAAGAATTTCACATTTCTATATTTCCTTAATGACACGGGTGCAACAACATTTTTAGAAAGTCAGAGTAGTTCATTGAACAGTTCTGCTGAGAACACCATAAAATGTGAAATGAGCTTCCAAATTATGTAGCCATCTTCAAACCTTAAAATGGATAAATTGGAGTGTTGTGTTCGTTGTATACTAGCGAATATTCAAGTTCTATCTCGTTCTCACTAATTCTGTCAAATAAATCCAGAACAGCTAGGATGAACAAATTGCTTTTCTTGTTCAAGCACACCATTTGTGCAGGTGCTAGTTTATTAAACTTGTAAGTTGTAACTAAGATCAGGGTAAACTACCCATTTCCACAGTATGCAACTTCATAGCACATCATCGAACAAAGAATCAGTAATATCCAGCAGGTTTGATCTTTTTCATCATGCATCAATTATAATTGTTCGTATAACAAATTACTAAGACATTCTATTCACATTAAAATTGGATTTTCTAATTGTCACAGAGTGATTGTTATATATACATTATTTAAAAGTTAATGAAAATTGAGCATAAGTAGAGAGGCATACATACTTGACAATGATCTTCTGTGAGGGCCTGTGAAGAGCGTATTATCTGATGCAGATCAGTATCCATTAGCTCATACACAATATACACATCATTGAATTCCTCTCTGTCTGGTGGTCTTACTATATCTTTTATTTTGATGACCTGCAGAACCAGTACACCGATATCAAAATCTAGGAATATTGATAACCAAATTAAAGATTGTACTGAAAAAGACACTATAGGCAAAGTAATAAACTTTGTTTCAGAAACTATTGAGTAAAAACATTGTCTTTATCTGCAGATACATGACAGTCAAACTTAAGACTCCATTAGCACTTGGCACAAGCAAACAGAAGATATATACTTGAAAAAGGGAGAAGGGAAGACGAAATGAATCTCAAAGATTAAGCATTATACTAGTTAGCAATTAATTTGAGAATACATTTTCATGATCCATGTGTGAAAGAAGTTTGATCTCGCGAAGAGTCCTCTTTGCATCAATTCTATTTTCAAATGCACTCCCAATTTTTTTGATGGCTATCTCCTCCTTCGTCTCCGAATTCGTAGCACAGCTGCAGGGGAACCCAACAAAATGTTAATTTGCCACTCAATAAGACTAACAAAAATAGAATTCAAATCAAATCAATAATGAAATCCTATAGTTTGACACTTGTTTCTCAATCTCACTAAGGCAAAAGACTTTAATTTTATGCACAACTTTACTCACAACAGAAAAGGGACTCAATATATGACCCAATCATCGCACTTTTATATCCTTTCGAGGATTATCAGACATGCATCTATACATATGATCTATGGAAGTACACACAAAAACCCCAAAAAATTCTAACAAAAGCACCAACTTTAGGAAACTTCGATATCCTAAATGCACACACATGAGCTGATCCAGGATAACTGCATTCATTTCTATCAGCTCAGATTATGTTTGTGTGCCTCAACACCAAATTTGAACCCCAACTGACTTTAAATCCTAAATCTGCAATTTACACACCCAAAAGAGTCATGCAGCAGGTTTAACTACACCAATTATGTATAGACATGCCAAGTTTCTGGACCACCCTCTAAATCCTGAATTCGTCTCCGTAGATTCAGCTAGCATTTGGCCATAGATTTTGGGAATCAAATTTTAAAAAAATCTGATCTTCAAATGTTTTCAATTTCCCCAAAACTTACTCAGACCAGTTTCTCAATCTTAGGACCTCCACTCACAAAAAATCCAAATTTCAAAAATCACAACTAAAAAACTCAACTTTTTTTCAAATTTCAACATCAAAATCTAATAGCTAGAGCTGAAAAATAAGAATTTTAGGGATGAGTGAAGTACCAGACGATTCCGTAAGCTCCACGGCCTACGGGTTGAATTGGAGGGACATACTTTGAGGTAACTTCAAAGAAGTTACCCACAACATTGTACTCAACATATTTGCCATCCCGAGTTGGAATTCCTTTGATTTCCACTGAATTTTCAATGTTTTCAGCATCCATTTCTGCTCTCTTCGTAACCCTTTTTTGCTTCTGGCAGAATTCGATTTGGAATGTGAAGAATCTCAGAGCTCTGTTCAAGAAATAGCAGAAAAAGCTATGGGGGGAAGTGTGAACGGATACAAAATGAGTGGACCCGACCCGATTTTTGTTGGGCTTTTTGAGTTTGAATTTTGAAAGGGATTCCCTCCCTCCTCACTCCCCCCCCAATTACTCTGTCCGTCCTAATTTATATTGGATACGATATTTAGGAAAGTAAGAAATTTATGATTATTAATTACTATATGATAAAATTTAAAGTTAGATGTACTTACTACATAGGCGGACCTATATGGTGAGGAGGGGTAATCGTGTGTACCTGTTAATTTTGAAAAAAAATTGGTATATATAACTTGAGATTTTATCAGATACGCTAAGACACAAAATAAGTTGGGTGTATGGTTTGAAATAGCTACTAAGTTCCTTTTTTCGACTTGAATGGCATGGGATAAAAAGTTTTACCAATACGGGTTATTTAATTCATATTTATACATTAATATACTAATTTAATGTGTTTTTAATAAAATTATCGAACAAAGTAATAATATGCTTTAACTAATATGCATCTATCCTTCATGATATATATATATATATATCATACTTCTCAATAATCTAGAATAATCCAATTGTGAGTTGCTTTTGACTTCTGAACGGATACAAAATGAGTGGACCCGACCCGATTTTTGTTGGGCTTTTTGAGTTTGAATTTTGAAAGGGATTCCCTCCCTCCTCACTCCCCCCCCAATTACTCTGTCCGTCCTAATTTATATTGGATACGATATTTAGGAAAGTAAGAAATTTATGATTATTAATTACTATATGATAAAATTTAAAGTTAGATGTACTTACTACATAGGCGGACCTATATGGTGAGGAGGGGTAATCGTGTGTACCTGTTAATTTTGAAAAAAAATTGGTATATATAACTTGAGATTTTATCAGATACGCTAAGACACAAAATAAGTTGGGTGTATGGTTTGAAATAGCTACTAAGTTCCTTTTTTCGACTTGAATGGCATGGGATAAAAAGTTTTACCAATACGGGTTATTTAATTCATATTTATACATTAATATACTAATTTAATGTGTTTTTAATAAAATTATCGAACAAAGTAATAATATGCTTTAACTAATATGCATCTATCCTTCATGATATATATATATATATATTTATCTTCTTTGAATTTCGAATCTACCTCTAATTACTAAGAATAAGTTGTTATTTTTTTTTTTGAGATCGATTAAAAAGAAAAGAGCGAAATTAATTGGAACAGATGTTTCATATGTTTGTGAAGGAGTAGTATAGTATATTTGGTTCACATGACAAAAATGAGATATACAAGAAAATTAGAAGGATAAATATATCATTTTATCTTAGGTCATTGCTTGCGTTAGGGTCGAGGCTATATTGTAAGAATTAAATCTATCATGATCTTATATATGGTAATTAAAGAGGATACCAACCAAAAATTGACTAATTTAATTACTTCGATTCCACAAAACTCAAAAGAAGAAGAAACTAACAAGAATAGAAAAAAGAAAACAACTTATAATACTTTCGTGTAGGTTTTTGTAACCTTCTCCCTCCGTTCATCTTTACTTATCCACCATATTATTTTGGAATGTCCGAAATTTTGTCTAGTTTATAAAATCAGTGAATAATTTATCATTTTGAATTTATTTTTACTTTTGCTATTAAATACTAGTATTCATTTTTCAATGTTTGAATGACTTGTATTTAATAAGGATGCTTTGGTAAAATTAATTATGTTTCTTAATTCATTTGTCAAGTAAATAGTGGACAACTGTTATCCATCTAATCTTAGAAAATAAACGTGAAAGTGTTGTTAGAGAGTACATAATTAGTACTAATTAAATATCATGTATTGAAATTAGATTGATGCGTGTTTGGACATGAATTAATCAATATTTGAAAAAATATATTTGAAGTTCTTATCCAAACGGGCCCTTTTGGCAATAAGACAAGTTTGACACTTCTCTATATTTTGTATGATTTTATTAAAACAAAGACACTAATCCTACAAGTACTTAAAAAAGTTAAAATAATGTAAATTTATGTCAAACCAATATTAAAATTAATATTTAATATTCATCTCAAAGTGAGATTTTCGCAATTCAATTTTGGTCTAGTTCATCCTCTAATCTTGTAAACTTACACATTTATAATGATTATTTATTACAACCATAATTTTTTCGAAATCAACTTCTTATGTTATATTTTTACTTCATCAAATTTGATGTAAACACAAAGAGGAAAGGGCCAGTGAGGGAGGAAATTCTCCATAACAATGTTAAATTCAGAAAATCAGAAATCGAAAACTCAAAAAATATATTGATCCGATAGCCCTAAAAATATAAAGCTCTTCTTCATTAATTATTAGAGACAATTATACATAGTTGAGACAATCGGACCAAAAAAACATCAACTCGATGCTTATGTTGGACATTTTACTCCTTTTTAATTTTCTTGACATTAAATGAAGTTTTTGCTTGACTTGTCCTTTGCAATAAATTTATTTGGCAATTAAAAAGAGATAATCAGATAGTCCATTAATCGAACTGCTAAAAATTCTTAAAAATTAATACTTCCACAATCCATTAAAGAAATAAAATACTAGATTTAAACAACAAAAAAGCTCAATTCTATTTCATATAATCAATAGATCATCCACTCCTGAAATTAAAAAAAAAAAACTAAAAATAAAGAAATTTTAATCAAATAAATAAAGGTATACTATAAGCTTGAAGCTATGAGGAAAGAAAAAAACAGGGGAAACAGAATTTCCCATTATTATTTACATAAAACTTCCTCAACTTCAAAATAAAATTAAACATTCATCATCGATATGATCCATCAGAATCAAAACTAATCGGAGATCCTCCGGGAGTTTTTTCATTCCTCTTTTTGTTTTCCGATCCACCATCAACAAATTCCGCTACAGATTTAATCAAAGAATTCACAATTTTCACCATTATTTGTCCTCGTTTTGGTGGAGGAAGATAACTTTGCTTCTTCTTCTTCTTGTACTGTTCTTCCATTTGAAGAAGAGATTGTGAATAATAAATTAATTTTGTGGTGAGAACAGAGAGAAAACAGAGACTTAAGAGTGAAGGAATTGATTTTTTAATGATTTTTGCTGAAATGGCCACATATAAATAGCAGTTTTAGCGGGGCTAAAACTGTAAATTTGAAATACTTGCTGAACAAGAGTGCTACACTGCAGTGATAGAGTGACAGTAGCTTGCTTAGCTCACATTAATGACGGTTTATTTACTTATTAATAAATTCTTTAAACTAATCTAGAGTATTATGAGTTTTTCGTATAATTATTTGATATTCGGAATTTGCTATTGTTCAATTGATTTAAATTTACGTTAAGTGAAATAGTGTACTCTATGTAAAAATTTCTTATAAAACTAAATTTAAAAAAGAATAGCTCAATTTCCTTTTTAGTCTATTAAAAAAAGAATGACCCATTTCTTTTTTAGCAACATTTTTAACTTTAATTTTCCACGTGATATATTTAAGGTCACAAGATTAAAAGATATTTTGGTACATTGGACATAACTTTAATTAAAACCATAAAATTAAAAAATCTTCTTTATTTTCTTAAATTTCGTTTCAAGTTAAACTAGATCATTCTTTTCGAAACGGAGGCTTATTAGAAGTTGCCTACTTTTATTGTTTTGTTTATTGGGAGGAGTACTTGCTTAATCATTAAGAATTGGAAAATTCTAGAAGAATAATCCAATTTTCCCAGTTCCCACCATCAACACACAAACTAAATAAGAAAAAATCATCACATTAAAGTTGTTCAAATTCTCTCTCTCTATATATATATAATTTTGAAGTTATAATATGTAGAATTAGTTGAAAATAAAAGTTCAAATTTTCGTTTGATTATAAATTTTGAAGTTAAAATCTACAAGTTGAAAATTTCAAATTTTTAGTTATGATTTTTGAAACTTGAAGTTGTATTTGGACGTGTATTTTTAGTTGAAAAAGTTTTGTTAAGTGGAATTGAAACTTGAAAATATTAAAAAATAATATTTTTAAAACTTGATCAGATTTCATTATCAAACAGATATTTAAAACAAATTTTCACAATCTAAATCTAAAATTAATAGCTACTGTTTTTGTTGAAAGAAGTTTTTATATAGTTTTTAGGATGATTGTTAAATTATATTATGATTATTTTGATTTTTCACACTGTTTAGTATTTTTGTTTGAATTCCACTAATCTAGATCCGTTATGTGTAGGGTCTCATTCGAAAGGAAATGCTCCAAATACAACCCCATTTGGGGAGAAGTGCCCACTACCAAGAATTATTCGTACAGACGGCTCAAACTCGATATCTTTAGTTAAGGGAGGAACGATGTTATTCACTGCACCATAACTTTGATGTGGTTAAATTGTAAATAAATTGAGGCTAAAAAAATAAAAAGATGTTGAAAGAAATGGCTCAATAATTGCAAATTTGCTAAAAGTGACAGTTTGACAATTATTTTCCGGTCCAGGTCAATCGGACTGTACCGGCTCAGCCCAAGTATGATTTCTTGGTCTGGGCTGATTATGGGCCCCTTGTTTGGGTCGGATCCTGGGTTTGGCCACTCATTGTTCCATATCGTTTAATTAGAAACTACGTAATTAGACATACTCTATTATCGTATATACTATTACATATACTTTATAATATTACATATAAATTATCACTAATTAAGAGTTTTCTATCATATATTAAGGTAGATACATGTATTTTTGCTATCACATATACTAAAAAGGGAGAGACGCAAGCGAGATGGGGAGAGACGCAAGCGAGATGGGGAGGGAGGCGAGTGGGATAGGGAGGGAGGCAAGTGATATATGTGAATCACACTAGATATATACCAGATACATACATTCACATGTATTTGGGATGTATCTGGATACATATGAGAGTCGTGAGCGAGATGGCAGAGAGCTGAGGGAA